TTCGTTAATCTAACTCACTTATATAAGTTAATTATTTAATTCCGAAATTTGTAACTGTTGTTGTTCATTTGAAAATAAATGATAGGTTAGGTTTTCTGTCCTCATACTCTTGCAAAAACAAAATGTTGAATTTCAAGTTATCGATTTAAAGACCAACGATTTTAGTACATAGAAAGTCCCATAGACGTCCCATTAACGTCCTGGACTCGGACCGAAAACTAAACGCTTTGATGAAATGGGACCAAAATAGGACGTCCGTCAAAGGACGTTCCAGTGTTCACGGTAATCGGAAGTCCACTGGACGTCCTATTTAGGTCCGGGACCAACCGGACCAACAAGGGACCAAATCAGGACGTCCATGGGACGTCCTGTGCTATCTGGGTGACAGCGGTGTCCATTCCGATATCAATTACTCAGAAAGCGATTATTCTGAGGAATTTAGTGTATATTCTTAAACTTATTTTTTCACATTTTGTTAACTTTAACGATGTATAATTTTATAAATTGCAAAAAACAGAACAAAATTAAGACATCTCTATTTATTTGCCTCTCTTGCACATTAATTACTTTCTCTGCTTTAGATATATAGGGACGTTTTAAGTATAACTAAAAATAAAAACAATAAAAAAAAAACAACACATAAACTATATATTTATAAAAACAACAGAATAACAAATATTCAAAGAATACATGAAAGCGAGACGCTCTAGCTTTAATCGTAAACTCGCGTGTTCCAATCAGAGACAATAACAGATGTCAAATAAACGTCAGCTGTGCGCACACTCCCAAACTCCTTGGCTGAGATCACGAGACTCGATATTCGATTGAAATTCGCCATATTTGTTCGACAATCGAAACGATACGTTCATGAGACTCGTTTGATCGAATAATTTCGATCGAAATTACTCGATAGTTTGAAAGGTATCGAATTAGGTTAGGTATTCAAAATCGTGTTTTCTTGTTTGCTGTTTGCCTGTGAAGACTTTGAAAAAATTAGTGTTTTTTATTACTGTTGTATTGTTATCGATTTTTATATTAGTTTTTCTGTTATTAAAAATTTTAAGAATGTTACCTGTAGTATGGAATATTCTTGAGAGAAATAGAAGACACATGGAAAATATGCAGCTTGCTAGGAGAAGACAAATGCTGAGATACCAACAGAATGCTTTTTTACTACCCAATGCTAGATTTATTGAATTGTTTCGACTCAATAAACGTTTAGTTGCAGAATTAATAGAAATGGTGAGACCACATGTGCCCCAAAGAATAATGGCAAGGGCAGTTTCTGTAGAAAGCATGGTTTTGTGTACATTAAGATTCTATGCTACTGGATCTTACCAAAGATGTCTTGGAGAAGAATATAATTTAGGTATGGCCCAAAGTACAGTGCACAAATATGTACATATGGTCAGTGACATAATTAATGACCACATTGTTGGACAAAAAATTAAATTTCCTGTAACCGAAGCAGAAAGAGACAGCATCAAAGTAGAATTTTTGCATAAATGGGGATTTCCTGGCACCATAGGAGCAGTAGATGGTAGTCATATTGCCATATTAAAGCCAAGTGTTGATGAACATAACTATATTAATAGAAAAGGGTACCATTCTATAAATTGTCAGATAATTTGTGATCACCAGTTGAAGATAAGAAATGTCTTTGCTAATTTTGGAGGTTCAACACATGATAGTTTTATTTGGAGAAGCTCTTCCATAGATGTTTATTTAAGAACCATTTATCCCAATGAAAGATGTTGGCTGATTGGGGACTCTGGATATCCTCTTTTACCATATCTCATTACTCCATTTAGAAATCCAGCAAACCGAGCAGAAGAAAGGTTTAATGCAGCACACACCCAGTCTAGAAACTGTGTGGAAAGAACATTAGGTGTATTAAAAACAAGATTTAGATGTTTGCTTCATGAGCGAACAGCCAGATATGACCCATATTTCGCGTGTAAGCTTATAAAGGTATGTGCTGCCCTTCACAATATGTGCATAGAGGATAATATGGAAATTTTATTCCAAGAGGTGCCACAAGAGGACTTTGATGGTATTGATGTGGCCGATGTTAACAATGTGGCTGAAGGACAAGCAGCAAGGGAGTTTATTTTAGAAAATTATTTTAGATAGTGGAGAAAAAAAATCTTTTTCCAACTTCATTTTTTTGTAACTTTAGTGTATTGATAAATTCCTTTTTCAACTTAATTTTTTTTGTAACTTTAGCTTATTGATGGCAATGTTGTCATACAACTGCTGTCAGATCCTTCTATTGTGTCCCACTTATTTTAAATATTAGATTTTCTATTCAAAGAATGAGAAAAATAGCATAAATTGTAACTGTCAGATGTTTAGTAGATTGTAGATTTATCTAATAGAAGTTGTGTATGTAATTGAAGGTTTCAGTTAGACGAGATAGTGCTCCGACCATGTCAAATCAGCATTACAATTCAATGTTAGAGGAAGTTTAAAAACTAGGTTCGCCAGATTTAGTTAAAATGTACCCCTTTAGTTTAATGAATGCTGACTAAAGTTAACCATATATATTTGGTAAACCCAACTATGTCAAATTGATAACTGAACAAATTATCTCTGGAATATGTACTTTTGACAGTTGAAACAAATTTTCATAAATAAAAATATCATTATGTAAAAATCCTTAAGTTACTATAAACCTAAATTTGATATGTCATCCCAGAAATTATCTATTTTGTTTAGTCAATTTTTTTTGTTTTTAATAACAAATGATATAAAATTTTGTTGAGTCATAGGTGTCATTAATGTATTTTGTTTTTGATAACAATATAAATAAAAACAATATATTTCATTCAGTGTTTTATTACAAACTATGAAAATTTACAAATAAATATTTAATTCATAACATAAAATGTTACTCTAAAAAACAAAAAATCCAGAACATAAACCAATTATTGGTATTTCAACAAAAAAAAACACTAATTTAATAGTCAGATTCATTCTAACCATAGTACAGTGACTCTCAGCCTTAAAATAAAAAGTGCTGAGTAATGAAGGAAAGTAGAATAGCTGCTGTGTTATAACTTTAGAATATGTCAGTGATTATTGTAACAGATAATATCAAAAAATAGTTTAAACAAAATTTGTTAGGCATAACAGCAACAGCTTTATACTTTTCACATGAATTCTACAATAAAATTAGTCACAATTTATATAACATACTTTATACCTAAATCATACTCTAAGCAAAAACACCAATCCTCAGGCTCACTAGTTTCAAATAATCCAGTTTATGGTAAATCTAAAAATTGATATTTTGGCTAGAGGATGAAAACTAAGATACGAACATGCAAGCGTTTTAATCCAAGGCATATCATTTGTCAGATACAGCTTACAATAGTGCAGAAAATGCTACTTTGCAGGTATATATCAGTATCTTGGAAACTATTAAATATGGATATAAAATGTGTCTAGTATAAACTGCAGAATTCAAGAATGGGACATAAAACAACTGAAGATTATCTGGTTAAAAATAAGACAATTAAATGAAACATGATTGGGTAAAATATTACTCTTTCCGAAATTCAGGATGCTAGTTGAAAATTCAAAAATTATTAATGGCTATAATTTTTTTATTACTCAATATAATTTTACTAATTTCGGCGAACTTTTATGGTATCATAAGATTCACCTATCAGAAAAAAAATCAGTTAAATAAACAGCTCGTGGGGTATGGCATGTAGTAACACCTTCATACCTTCTAAATTTTACACCACCGTCCAAAGAATTAATTGGACTATAATTTTAAAATTTGTTGATGTTTTTTAAACAAATAATGTACTTTCATTGGAACCTTATAAAGTGATTGGTTTTTGAAATAAGTTCCCAACAAGAGTAAATGATTTATTTAAAATACAAGAAATTGTACATTATAGTCCAAATAAACTCTGGGAGAGTGGGGAAAAATTTAGAAGGGATGAAAATGTTATTTACCCATGCCATACACCACTATCAAAGTTTATTTACCTAACTAATTTTTCCGCTGATAAGATGTATCTTATGACACCAAAAAACGTTTGCCTAATTTAGTAAAATTATACTGACTAATAAAAAAATTATAGCATTAACAATTTTTGAATTTTTATCTTTACCACCCTGTATTTCGGAGTAATATTTTCCTAAGCATGTTTCATTTAATCATTAAGAATCTTCAGTTGCTCTATGTCCCATTTTTATTGGGACATAGAGCATAATTTGAAAGCATAAATGTTTCATAAAAAAAAGTTTTCTGTTGTCCTGTTTCTATGGGCCACCATGAACCATAGAGCAGGTACACAAAATAGGTCTTTTCCTTTGCATCGAAAGTGTAGCACTGAGCTACACCACTTCAGAAAATATCGTTCCATTTGCAAATTGTATGGATGGAACGACATTTTCAGAAGTAACGTAGCTCAGTGCTACACTGCTGATGCAAAGGAAAAGACCTATAGTTTACTATTGCTGTTTATTTTCAGCAAGTTTTTTTAGAGAACTTGATATTTCTACTAAATTAGTTGCTAGTATGTCCCTAATTTCTTTTAAAACGTCGATAGTTTCACTATAAGCATCTTCCATAGCTAAATTCTTTTTAACATTTTTTTTTGTTGGGTATGAATGGTCCAAGTGTGCAACCTTAGCTAAATAATTTTCTTGATGACTTGCTGTTGAGGTTGGCTGTGATGTGGGATAATATAATGATTTTTGAAAATCTTCGGATTTTTCCTGTAAGTTCTTATATGCAACAGAATCACTACTAAAATCAGAAGCAGAGTTTATGGCATTCTCTAAATCATCACGTGTGATGTGCGTAGTTTTAATAATAGTTGGAGGCATGAACTGATTATTATTTTGTAATGGTAAGGATCGATTTTCTTCGGAAAAAGGCAACTAAAATTAGATTTTGTAAATAATTAACCAATAAAAAAACACAGTTAACTTACACCAACTTCAGGCACATTAAGTCCTGTGAAGGTTGAACCCAACAGCTACAAAGCCCTCTCTTCAAATGGTGTTAATATTTTTGTACTTCCTAAGCCACCTCCAGTCTTAGATTGATCTTTTTTTATATCCGAAGCTTTCTTCTTTAAGTTATACTTCATATCAGTCCATGTCTACAAAATGTACTTTTTTATTACAGCTTAGGATAAAAAAAAATAAGGATATTACAATAAAATATACTTTATATACATATATTAATTTTGAAGAGTTTAATCTGTGTACATAAGGGCTTAGCTAGTAGCTGCAATTTACTAACTCACCGTTTTGTTTTTTGTAAGATAATAAATGACCCTACCTTTAACCATTTATCTGCTGTCTTAGATCCATATCCCAAACTATTAAGAACATCTGCGATGTTTTGCCACTTTTCTTTTAAAATATTTCTTGCATTTGGTCCACCAGCTCGGCCAGAAACAATGTCACGATTTTTTTCCAGAAAATCAATAAGGACTTCCAACTGCTTTGGATGTAACATTTTGCTTATAACTTGTAAGATAAACACAAAATATCAAATAAAAAATAAACATTAAATAACTCAAACTCCTGAAACCTAACCAAACTTTTCCCTTCCTTTTCAGTTTTTTCTTCAGTGTAAACTGTAAAGTTGGCTACAATCGAATGCACTCGATTTACGATTCGATCGAACGTTGTGAACAAACTACTCGAATCGATAACCCGATTACTCGATCCAATCGAATCGAACGTCGTGATCCTTCTGCTGATCTAAAGCGCGGATTTCATACGTGATCGAATCTTGCGCGCGCACAATATCGCGGCAGCCTAAGTTACGCAAACGCTTTCGCGCGGCAGCCGGGTATTTTCGTGTTGGAAATTTTGCGACTTTTCCAACGGTATTTAGTTTGACTATAAAAGCGATGATTGTATAAAAGCAACATCGATATAGTACTTTTCAGTCCCATCAGCCACCCTTAACGCAAAGGATGATGGTCGGCAGCCGGGTATAGAAAATTATATTTAATTACTATCTATCGATTAAGTAGAAAATTTGGCAAAAAAGCGATGGGTGGAGAGTGGCACATATTTTCAATTGTTAATAATTTTTTATAACGTAAAACGCAAACGATATATATTACCCGACGTTTTTATGAAAATTTAGCCATACTAGTGATCGACCCAACATTTTGCAGTGGGCTCCTAAACTATAAGTTATTTGTGGAAGAAAATAACAAAATGTTTACTTCACTTATGTTTAAAACAAAGAAATATCGCTGACGGCTATTAACATGCTTTGGCATGTGAAGTGAAAGGGTTTTTGTAAACTGGCACAAGACGTTATTGTCGAACTTACAATTTTATCAATGCAAGCAGGGCCAATACTCGTTATGTCTCGGTGCCCGTTATATCCCGGCTTCCCCTACATTTTTCGTAAATTTTTCCTAAAATAAACCCGAGGAAATAGCATTTTCAATTTTTTTGGGCCGTAAGCCCCATAACTTAGTGACTTTTTGGATTTTGCGGTCATATTGTAGTACACGTTACGCTCCATGCAATGGTACCAATATCTCGTTGATATAGTGCTATTTGCCTACGTCCCAATTGCGTACACGGTCAATTTTGTCACATTTGCGTACACGGGTTAGATCATCTCTTGAGTCAGGTAAAAGTATTACGATATATAGTCCTACTTGCGTACATATACTTATACTTAATTTTATTTTTAAAACTTTCCTTCACACTTTTTCCAGGCTTAGGAATGGCACCGATTTGCTGGCGTGTTTAAAAGTTTTTTTAGTTTTTATATTTTTGAGTTTTTTTTTGTTTTTTAAGAATTTACAAAAAGAATGGTATTTACAGAATATTTACAAAATGCAGAGCCATACAGTCGGTTACTCTAACTTAGCGACGTAAGCTAGAGAAGTTAGGCATTTTTTAACGATTTCTGTATATGCCGCTATTATTTTATTAATTCTAATGTCCAACTTGACGTATTTTGTTTCTCTTCTTTTTTCCTCCAAATTCAATTCTTTTCGTTTATAAAGAAAATCACTATTTTCTGCTTCTTCTTTTAAGTGTTTCATCAACTGTAAGACAGGCGGATGGTTTCTTTTGACCAGATGATGTAACTTGTTGTTCCATCCCTCCACGACGTTATTTGTACGATAGAGCTTGTTGCTGCAGTTCCACATATCTGGCGTAATGATACTATTTTCTAGCCACTGATCCACGAAATATTCGTAGAACTTTTGAAGTTTTTCGTTAACGGGTGAATTTCCTTGAATGGTTAGCCAACAGATATCCAAATCTTCAAGTGGAATATACGCCAAAGCAGCACACATACGAATATGTAGTCACAGTTCATCATCGTGCCGGTATTCTACAACAAGGCCCAACTGTTGTACTTTTCGCCATATACATTGATTGTAGTGGAAATGACAGCCATTTATTGCAACGTTAGGAAACACATTCCTTATAGCTATAATCACTGCTTCCTTGAAGTCTACAGTCACTAATGTTGGTTTCCAGTTTGTGGATATTTTTATTATCGTAAATAATCTCTCATATGTAGAGCGAGTTTTGTTCTTGAGTAGTGCATAAACTACAGGAATTATGTTTCGCTCGTCTGTATTGCTTCCAATGTCCGCATGTATTGTATAAAGTTGAGTAAACTGTTTACTGCAACACTTAAAAGTGCCGTCCATAAAGAAAGTATTCTGGTTTGATATAATCTCCTTCTCAATCGATGACGAAAATATTAAAATTCTGTCTTCGTAATCATCATCAGCGACCAGGAAGGAAGATCGATCGTTCAAAAGAAAAGGCCTTTCAGGTATTTCGACATCCGATGCACATTTTGGCTCTTTTGACAGTCCGTTTGCCTTTTGTCTGTGTCGATATAAAGTAGTCTTTACTGAAGACAACATTGGAATATCGCAGACAAAGTCAATTCCATGTTTAAAAAGTGGCCTCATTTCTTCACGGTAAATGTTTGGAATGTCCTAATCAGTTTCTCGTGCTCGCTTTTTGGCATTTTCTTTATGAACTTATACTTCTAGTTGTGCCAAATTTGGTTTACAGTTATGCTCAGATACTGACAGAACTTGGGATTTATTTGTTTTTAATGTTCCCCGGCATTTTTCACTTTTTTCTTTGACGCACAACCATGTCACAACCTCTTGTTTGTTTTTTATGTGTTGTCGATACTGTTGCTCCTTAAAAATTGCTGATGGATTCCCTTTGGTCGTATTAACTATTTGAAGTTGATCCATTTCGGAAATAGAAATGGTTATAAGACGACTGAACTGAATAATATGGCAGCAGTACACTTACTAACGATTTTACTCGAAGTGTTAAGAAATTCAAAAATCAATTATCGAATAATGAATAATGTTAAATTCCCCTAATGACCTGATATTAATAATACTCTCCCTTATTCACAATTATTTTCATTTATTTAAAACGTAAATAACATTTTTGGACTACTTGAAAATAATAGTAATTTTGATAGTCCTTAGTTCGTAAATAGGCATCAACGAAATCAACTTTTATTTTGCAATATTTTGAAAGAAAATTATAACATTTTCAAACTGTTCAGTAATATAATAGGCCCTATTTTATGTGTGTAGGACTATGCATCATAATATTTTTACCTGTCACAAGGCATGACCTCACGGTGTACGCAAGTGGGACAAAATTAACCGTGTATGCAAATGGGACGTACGCAAGTAGGAGGATACCATCTCCTTTTTTGAAAGTAGTGCCGTTCTGTAGGGTCTACTTTTGGATTACCTTCGGTGTTAGAATCTCCAAAATATTAGTTTTCAATTCACTAACACTTTTGACACTTAGTCCCCTACAGAATTCATTTCTAGAGCAGTTTTGTTACAAAAAGCACCATACTATTATAATTTTGGTATTTATTTTCCATCTACATTAGTACAAACAAAATAATCAAAACAAAATAACACACTTCTTGAAAACTAAATCAACTTTGCTTTGCTCGTCCCGCAAATATTCACTCGTTACATAAAATAAGGTATTTTGTAACTGGTTGCATAAATAGCTACTAATATAAAGTTTGAAATGTTAGTCATTTCCCCGTTACATATACCTACCATCTTGTTTAACACGAATTCCCGGCCGAGATTAAATTTAGTGTTTCCCTTACGACGGTAAACTTTCGTAATCTATTAAGTTTCTTCTTTATAGAGGCCAGAATGTGTTTGTAATCTTTTTTCTTCGCACTATATACTTACATTTTAGTGAGTCTTTTTTCTTGCTTTGGTAGTAGCTTTCGACCGATGTGCTATCGTGGGGCGTTGTGTTTGAGAAGGGAAACCCCCGAGAAGCCATTAGCTTTTTCAACTTGAAATACATTTCGAGAACAAACCGGTAGGTATGAGGCATTGCATTAAAAAAAAAACGAAACCATTGGCGTAGCTATTGGAAAAAGCAAATAGGATTACGTTTTTATAGTAAAAATAAATTGCAGTTTTATATTTAAAAAGGGTAAAAAGAAAACTATAAAAAATTATAAACCTTTATTTTATTTAAAAACGCTTTTACTGGACCCTTAAATAAATATAATTTCCTGTCAACTGATCAATATGGTGTAACCTATCAAAAGTTATAAGCAACTTCCAGATGGGAATTGTTTAAAATTAAACTTTGGATATAAAAAAAATAACTATCAATAAAATTTTGTCTACTACGGTTTGTTACCTTCTTTTAGATTTCTACGATTTAAATTGTACTTAAGAGGTGATTTAGCTCAAATTTCTGATACTGCGTGTATTCATAAATTGACCAGGATAAATCAAATCAGAGTAGCTTGACCGTTTCGCGGACCAAAGTCTACTTTACGATAAATGAAAGATATTATAATACGATAACGACAAAGTTTTTGAGTAACTTGGAAAACTTATCTGATTTGATATTTCCTGTTTAATTGAGTCAGTCTCCCATTTTAGCCCAGCGTTGCCATATGGCAACGCGAAACAGGTGTCTGCAAAAATATTCCTAAGGTATAAAATTTTTCTTTTATAACAGAGATGGCGCTAGAAGTCGTTTCAGTATGCTTTTAGGAACACGTGTTTTCTAATCTATTTGTTTATTGTGTGACGGAGATGTCAGTCGATATAGGATTGCAATACGTTCAAAAAAATGGTGGTGGGTGATATTTACATGGTTAATTGATGTATCAATTGTAAATGCTTGGGTTATTTATCGAAAATCTGTGGGAACAAAAATGCCACAACTGGACTTCAGACGTGAAATTGGAAATATATATCTATCTAGATATGGAACTGTTCTAATAAACCAATGTACTGTATCTCCACGGTTGAGTCTACGTTGAAATCGTTAATCTTTGGAGTGTAAGACCCTACTGGTAAACCCTTAAAATATTACAAAATGTGTCAATATAAATTGACTCAAGTTTCCCAAACTATACAATTATTTACCCCAAATGTACATAAGCTAGAAACTATTGAGTACCTAGGATGAACGAAAAACTAC